CTATAAAGGTAGCATCTTGCATCTGAAACTGCTTGCATGTTTGAAATCCAGGTCACATAGAAACCATGTCTATAAGGCCTAATGGCTTTAATTTGCCTCAATCCTGAAATTGTCTAACATTTAATGTGAAAATTTATTCACGTGCATTTGTTGTCTAAGTGTGGAGGCTAACTTGAGCCCTTAATTGCTTTTACATGAAGTCCAACATGTTTTGTATGTCGCCTAGTTTATCATTTCTGAGCAGCCTAAGCTAAGTCTAGAAACCATCCAAAATAGAGGCCCAAACGCCTCCTGGGCCATAGGCATGGGACGGGTAGTGCACGCATATGGCACGGTTTAGAATCAACTAGTGCGCTTTAGGTAAATATTTAAAGATAGTAATCGGGTAGCAGTAGATGATAGTCTGTGCCCGCTGAATAATACGAGTAACACCCCATCTCGAGGGAGTTACGAAGTATTATTTATGTTGCACGGGGTGATCCTTTAGGCTAAAAATCTTAGGACCCCCATCTTGTCTTTAAACCAATTATCTGTGTTTACTTAAGGACTTTCTAATAATGATTTGTTTTCAAACTTGTTGTTTTTCCCTCTGACTATTTGACTAATTCATATAATTCAAGTTCGGCCGGGACCCACAGTTGTGGACCTCGAAGAGTGCCTAACACCTTCTATTCGAGGTAATTTGAGCCCTTACCTAATCTTTGGTGACGCAAACTGGTTAAACTAGAGTTATTTGCAAATAGGTGCCCTAACGCACCTCAAACCCATTAGGTGGCGACTCTCTCTTTTAACATCTTCCTTTAAAAGAGTTGTCACGTATCGAAATCCGATTTCACGAGAAAGAGGGACGGGACAACAGTGGGCCCCAAAATCTACTTGGCAAAATATGAATGGAGTCTCATACAAGTTTTGTTTGTCACGTAATTGTTGAGTCTCATACAAAATAAATTTCTCAATACGACTCATATGCATATTTTATTTGATTATACAAAGTCATATTTAAGTACGTAATAGTCATGAAAAGACTGCAAATATATAGTGTCAGTACACACCCCGAGTCATGCATGGAATATTAAAGAAAATACATATTTTAAAATTCTATGTATTAATAGTGTTATTTAGATAATTAGATTATTTATTACTTAGTAAATAATAGATAATCTCTTGATAAACATTCACTTATGGTGTAATTATTTTTACACTTATTAGTGTTACAAATTAAATCCATATTCAATTCATATTGACATGTTATATTAAAAAAAATAAAAAATAAGTAAACCAAATAAAGGGTAGGTCTACGCCCGCAGAAAGGAAAAGATAGGAAAGGCCTGCCAAAATTTGTTTTCTTCCTCTATTTGGTTAAAGGAAGAAAAGTGGAAAGAGATGGATACATTCCTATTTCTGGACACTATGAGTGTGTTTGGTAAAACAGACCAGAAAATATTTTCTTGGAAAATAAGTTGTAATCTTATTCATTTTTCGTTTGATAAGCAAATTAAGAAAAATAATTTCTCAAGAGTATTCATAAATAATTTAGATATAATAAACATGAAGCCAAAAACTTTCGAACCAATAACCTTCTGAACCCATAAATTTCATAAACTTTCGAACCGCTAAACTTTCGAAACCGCGAAATTTCGAACCCGTAAACTTCAAAACACATAAACCTCCGAACTCATAACTTTGGAACTTGTAAAATTTCGAACTTGTAAACCGAAAGATGAAAAAATTAAAACTGAAAATATAAAAAAAAAAATCCCGGGAGGTCCAGAAAAATGAAAAAACAGAAATTTAAAATTACAAAAAAAGAAGTAAAAATAAAAAACTTTTTTTTTGTGCGGGGATGGGGTGTGGGGTGAAGGGTGGGGGAGTGATTGGGGGGTGCAGAAAAAAGAGAAAAATAGAAAATTGAAAATTACAAAAAAAAAGAAAAAAAAAATTAAAAAAAAAAGTAAAATTTTATTGGGGAGTAGTAGGGTGGGTGGTGACGGAAAATTTGAAAAAAAAAAGCCTTTTTGGATAGAGGGGGTTGGGTGGGTAGGNAAAAATATTTTTTCAAAACATTTAAACCAACAAAACATGGAAAAATTAAAAAATATTTTCCTTCGTGCCAAACACACCCTATATTCTCTACTTTTTGTTATTCAATATGGTCTTATTTCATTTTAGTACTTGTGCCCTCCATATTTGGAAGTTAAACCGCAGCATCTCTCATCGAGTAACAGTGTAATAATGTGAGAATTAAATAACAAATTTAATTATACCATTTCATCTTCTTTACTTCCATGTTTGATTTCTATGTAACATAACTAAATTCAAATTTACAAATTTTATATAATGTTCCAAAACTTCTCTTTTTGTATTAGATGAAAAGTTAATTTCGTGAAAATAAATTCTTTTTATGCTAGAAAATATTACTATATTACTCTTCAAATGATAAGAGATTGAGTAGAAATTTTGTGATCAAAATTATGAAATTAAATAATTACATAATTGAAAATTAAAATAAAGTATTTATCCCTTTTCATACTTAATATTTATGCATTAACAACAACAATAACAACATACTCAGTATATTTCTACACTTAATGGGCGTTTGGACATAAGATTTGTAAAATTTCAAAAAAAAAGTGAATATAATTTTGGGTTATTTTTGAAGTTTTGTGAGTAATATGAGTGAAATTTTTGAAAAATAACTTTTTGGAGTTTTTCAAAATTTCGAAAAATTACAAAATGCATTTTCAAGTGAAAATTAGAAATTTTATGAACAAACGCTGATTTCGAAAAAAGTAAAAAATTTTTGAAAAAAAGAAATTTTTTTTATGTCCAAACGGGCTCTTAATATTTATGCATTAAACAATTGAATTAAGAAAAGAAAACTAAACCAATCAAAAAGTTTATTTATATTTTTACTTTAGTATAAGTACTCTTTCTCATATTTCTCTATACTCTTACTTTTCTTTCCCTTCCCTCCCTAACTCCCTTGGTCATGTTGAGAAAGTGTAAAGTATTCTGCTCTGTTAAAGAAGTTCCCCTCCAGTTCTTTGTACAATTTGTCGTGGATGACGTCATTCTTCAATGATATCATGACCATTTCCTATTGAGCCAAAGACTGGACGGATAATTTATTCCTACTTAATTGCTAACTGGACCCACCAGAATACTTTAGTAAATTATAAGTGCACGACATGGATTATAATTTCTCAGGGCTTAATTCATCCCCTCACTGTCTTTACAATATTTGCTTCTTGTGTCATTATAATATGTTATTTGCTTCTTTATATATATATAATGACACAAGAAGCAAATAGTGTAAAGATAGTGAGTGATGAATTATATATATATATNTACCCTTTTCAATTACTCACCCTTATCATTTAACGTAAATTCTCACGAGTTTTACCTTATTTTCTAATCTATCATTAGTCATTTTTACTTTTGAAGAAATAAAATCACAAAACAAACTAATTTAGTTATTACAACAACAACAACAAGTTCAGTGTAATTAGTGTAATCTCACATGTGGGATCTGGGGAGTATGATGTATACGCAGACCTTACTTCTACCTTGTGGAGGTAGAGATCCGATAGACATTCGGCTCAAGAAATAATAAAAATAAAGTAACAAACTAGCAATAATAATATAATAAAATAAAATAAAAATTAATTTAGTTATTATATAAATAAAATAACAAATGGCCTATCCTTCTCTTTTTCTGTCTACGAGTAATTAATACTTTTAGGAAATCAAAAGTTGTTAGAATAAAAATGATACTATACGTTTCTAAGGGAAAAAAAAAAACTTTACGTTTCTATCATTTTGTAATTTTTATTTTATAATAAAATAGAAAAGCACGGAAAAACGAAAAAAGGTGAAAGAAAGGCTTCACAAACGCCAACATCACACTCACAACAAACTTCAAAAACCATCTCACGTGCTCACCTGCACATTCTCTCTGAATTTTTAGCCAATATTGTCTCTTATCTTTGGGGTTAAGTCTACTTTTATTTTTTATCTATTGCCTTGAGCACTTATTATTTTTTAAGTTTGCTAAACTTGAACATGTTTAGTTCATTTAACAAAAGACCCAAAGGGAGACCTAAAAACTAACAATGATTTCACTGAATCAACTGGGTAAAGAAACTTTCAGAACTCAAATTTTACAGAACCAATGTAATGAACCTAAACCTGTTTAACGGGTCGGATTGACCCAGTTCCGGACCGGCCTAGACTGGTTGTAAACCAGACTGACCCGGTGGAAGGGGACCGGGTAGGGTTGGGTTTGGGGGTTGGTCAGTATATATTTTTTTACCGGTTAACCGGACCGGTCAAACCCGATCAATAAAAATTACTATCGAACCGGTTAAATAGCCCAGCCCGGCCCGGTTCAACGACTATTTTTTTTATTTTTTATTTTTAAAATTATCACACTTGTTTCTACAATCTTAAAGGTGACAAAGAGGTGGGCCGGGTCGGGCCCTTAGGCCCGGAAACGTTCCGGTTCAATTTTTCACCGGATGGGCCCGGACCCGTTAAGCTCGATTTTAAAAACTTGATAACCGGCCAGGATTGGTGACCGACCGGTCACTATTTTTCTCAACCGGTCCGGTCCGGTTAACCGGTTCAACATTAATTTTTATTGACCGGGTTTGACCGATCTAATTAACCGGTAAAAAAATATATACGGATCAACTCCCTAAGCCCCCAAACCCAGCCCTACCCGACCCCCTTCCATTCGGTCCGGTCCGAAACCAGGTCAACCCGGCCCGTTAAACAAGTTTAGATTCATTACATCGGTTTTGCAAAATTTGAGTATTAAAAATTTCTTTACCCAGTTAACTCAATGAATCACAATTAGTTTTTAGCTCTCACTTTAGATCTTTTGTTAAATTGACTAAACGTGATCAAGTTTAGCAAACATAAATGATAATAAGTGTCGTGGCAATAGATAAAATACAAAGTAAACTTACACAATGGTAAAATAAGGGACAATTTGGGATAAAAACTCCATTCTCTCCCGGGTGCATGTATTCACTTAACGCCAGTACTTCCTTTAAAACACTGAAGAAAGCACTCACTCTCACCACTTCCCTTGTTTCAGATCAGAGACCGATTATTATGGTATGAGCTATGCTTTATTATTGTTTTCACTGTATGAACTCTGCATTTTTGAAAATTGCTTGTGATTGTGAAGTAGTATATTCTTCCACATATTTTCATGCATTCTAGCAATTTCTGTACCAAATATATGGCACAATTAGGAATTTGATCCAATAATGTTAAGTAGCGTACTGTTTCCTTCTTTTTCCTTGCAAAGCCGAACGGCAAAAGTCGCCTAAAGTAAAAACTCAGTTTGGTTCTATATCTCTCCGTCGAATTCTCGAAAATTTTCAGCAAAATATTAAATGTGGGTTTTATTGGTGGTCACTGAAGAAGGGTTCTAATTGAAAGGGGAAAGAGAATATGGGTGTGACTTGGGTCACCCAAGGAGGGTTCAATCCTGCCAAACCAGGTATAGAGTAAAAGGTTTTAGTGGATTCTAGCTCCCTGACTCAGTTCTTCTACTCGACGAAATATTCGGAAAGTTAAAATTATAAAAAAAAAAAAAAAGACGACCAATAGCATTAACTACTGTAACAAACGTTAGCTTTTTTCATGTTAAAACCTGGAAGAGCCGAAAATTTAGATATCCAGCTTAGTGTTGCCTGCTATTGCTTTTTTGTTTTTTAGTCTCTAGCTGAATCTTTATGTGTTGTTACGCAGGGTCGATACACTGAAGATTTCGAGGAGAAAGAGCTGTTGGGTAAAATAGTTCTTTTCAAGTCATTTTTTACAATTTCTTTCCTAATTTCGACACTTTTTCAAATCAAAATTTTCTATGCGTTTATAATGACTGAACCTTGAATTAGATTGGAGAGCCTGATAGGAAGTATGGTTTGAATAATCCTTTAGTAAGGATATCAGCCACTCGTTGTGAATTCGGAATAGATGGCATTCAAATAACTCCAGCTCCAACCTTCTCCTTTGTGAAGTGTTTGTCAATTTCAATATATTTTGTTCTACCCTATTGAACAAGATTGTGAGCAATGCTGATGGCTGCGTAGTTGTCACCGTACAGTTTCATAGGCATAGTCTCTGTTCTTCTTAGTTCCTCCAAAATTCACTTAAGCCACACCAGTTTACATATTCCATGTGCCGTAGATCTATATTCTGCTTTAGTACTGATGCGGGCTACTGCATTTTGTTATATGCTTCTTCAAGTTACCAGGTTTTGCCATATGAATGTATAATAATCTAATGTGCTCAGTCAGTATGTATGCGTCAATACGTGTTCATTTCTTCCGAAATATAGCATTTTCCTGTAGAATTCTTCAAGTATATCAGGATATGGTAGGCTGTGGCAAGATTCTCTTCATAGGGTGAATTCATAATTGACTTAGACTCGCGGCACATGCTATATCATGCCATGCATGTGATGGGTAAGTTTGCCAACTAGCTTTTGGTACGGTGCTGTATCCGCCGACTTTCCTTCTATGCTTATCAATTGCTTTTTAGCTGGCTTTCATTTAGAGGGTGTTTGGATTGCCTTAAAAACTGGTTAAACCAGCTTAAAAGCACTTTTCGACTTGTTTTGATGTTTGGCAAACACCAAAAATGCTTTTAAGCCAAAACAAGCCAAAAATCCATAGATTGGACCCTCACTTATGACTTTTTAGTTAAAAGCTCTTTAAATTTGACCAAGTATTTTACATTGCTATCCCTCACACTTTCTTATAATTTCAAAAATATCCTTCACCATGAAAATTCCTAACTCCACTCGTTTATGAAATGCACTACCTGTCCTATGTTGATTTCTCATACTTCCATCTCTCCATCGACGAACAAATGCTCGCTGACACCATTATTGATTTTAAATTGTATATTATGTGTGTTCTCTTTTGTCCCTCAAAAGTCAATTACAGCTTAGTTGCAGAAAGATACAAAGAAAAGGCTCTTTTCTGTACATGTTAGATATTTTAGAATGCTTTTACTTTTTCTTTGTGTCTTTGTTTTCACCTATTTTCCAATAAAAGATTACTTCCAGTGTACTACTTATCTACATATGGTTCTAAAATGGGACAGTTTTCGCACTTTTGCACGCTGCATGTTTGCTGAAAAAACAGAATCACAAGTTTACATATCAGTGTTCAGTTTGTACTTTCATTTCATGAGCAGTTGTAATCACATCGTTAATGTTTGTCACTCAAATATAATTTTATCTAATCAATTTATAACTTGAAGTGAATTAAGACATAAATTAGTTTGTATTTGAATTAAAATTTAAAATTAAAATATTACAGTAGTGAGCTCCTTTATAGTGTTGACATATTTAAGGATATTTCAGTCATTTATTGGGCTGAGTTGGATGAAAGGGCTGCTAGTGCAATCCGGTTGCACTTATTAGATGATGTGGTAAATAACATCATTGATGAAGACACAACATGTGGCATTTGGACAAGGTTGGAAAGTCTATACATGTCCCAAACGCTGACAAATAAATTGTACCTGAAGAAGCAGTTATACGCCCTACACATGGGTGAAGGTACGAATTTTTTGTCTCATTTAAATGTGTTTAACGGACTAATCACACAGCTCGTCAACCTCAGAGTGAAAATCGAGGAAGAAGATAAAGTCATCTTGTTGTTGAACTCGTTGCCATCTTCGTACGATAATTTGGCAACAACCATCCTGCACGGTAAGACTACTATTGAGTTGAAAGATGTCACATCGGCTCTCCTACTCAATGAGAAGATGAGAAAGAAGCCTTAAAATCAAGGACATGCTCTCATCACAGAAGGTAGAGGCAGGAGTTATCAAAGGAGTTCGAGCAACTATGGTAGATCCGGAGCTCGTGGGAAGTCTAAGAACCTATCCAAATCAAGAGTTAGAAATTGGTACAATTGTGATCAACCAGGTCACTTCAAAAACGATTGCCCAAATCCAAGGAAGGACAAAGGTGAAACTAGTGGCCAGAAGAACGACGACAACACAACCGCCATGGTGCAAAACAATGATAATGTTGTCCTCTTTATAAACGAGGAAGAGTAATGCATGCACTTATCAGGTTCAGAGTCGGAATGGGTGATTGATACAACATCTTACCATGCCACACTGGTAAGAGATCTTTTTTGCAGATTTGTAGCAAGTGATTTCGGCATTGTGAGAATGGGTAACACAAGTTACTCAAAGATTGCGGGGATTAGTGACATTTGTATCAACACAAATGTTGGATGCACATTGGTTCTAAAGGACGTGCGACATGTACTTGATTTGCGGATGAACTTGATCTCGGGAATTGCTTTAGACCGAGATGGATACGAGAACTATTTTGCAAATCAAAAGTGGAGACTCACCAAGGGATCATTGGTGATTGCAAAGGGAGTTGCTCGTGGCACGTTGTACAGGACAAATGCAGAAATATGCCAAGGTGAATTGAACGCGGCACAAGATGAGATTTCTGTAGATTTGTGGCACAAAAGAATGGGTCATATGAGCGAGAAGGGATTGCAGATTCTTGCCAAGAAATCACTCATTTCTTATGCCAAAGGTACAACGGTAAAACCTTGTGACTACTGTTTATTTGGTAAGCAGCATAGAGTCTCATTTCAGACATCGTCTGAAAGAAAATTGAATATACTTGATTTAGTATATTCTAATGTTTGTGGTCCAATGGAAATTGAATCGATGGGCGGTAACAAATATTTTGTTACTTTTATTGATGATGCTTCACGAAAATTATGAGTTTATATTTTGAAAGCCAAAGATCAGGTGTTTCAAGTTTTCCAGAAGTTTCATACTCTCGTGGAAAGGGAGATAGGCCAAAAGCTAAAACGTCTCCGAAGTGACAATGGAGGTGAGTACACTTCAAGGGAATTTGAATAGTACTGTTCGAGCCATAGGATTAGACATGAAAAGACAATTCCTGGAACCCCACAACACAATGACATAGCCGAAAGGATGAACCGCACCATTGTGGAGAAGGTGAGAAGCATGCTCAGAATGGCTAAACTGCCTAAGTCATTCTGGGGTGAAGCAGTTCAAACAACCTGTTACCTGATCAGTAGGAGTTCATCAGTTCCGTTGGCGTTTGATATCCCAGAGAGAGTTTGGACCAACACCGAGGTATCCTACTCGCTTCTGAAGGTGTTCGGTTGCAGAGTTTTTGCACATGTACCAAAGGAGCAGAGAACAAAGCTGGATGATAAATCTGTTCCCTGCATATTCATCGGATATGGAGATGAATAGTTCGGATGCAGATTGTGGGATCCTGTAAAGAAGAAGGTCATCAGAAGCAGAGATGTAGTCTTCTGAGAAAGTGAAGTTGGAACTGCTGATTATATGCCAGAAAATGCCAAGAATGGTATAATTCCTAACCTTGTTACTATTCCTTCTACTTCTAACAATCCCACAAGTGCAAAAAATAGGACCGACGAGGTTGCCGAGCAGGGGGAGCAACCTGGTGAGGTTATTGAGCAGGGGGAGCAACTTGATGATGATGTCGAGCAAGTGGAGTACCCCACTCAGGAAGAAGAACAACCTCAACCTCTGAGAAGATCAGAGAGGCCAATGGTAGAGTCATGCAAGTACCCTTCCACAGAGTATGTCCTCATCAGTGATGAAGGGGAGCCATAAAGGGAGGTGCTGTCTCATTTAGAAAAGAACCAGTGGATGAAAGCCATGCAAGAGGAGATAGAATCTCTACAGAAAAATGGCACGTACAAGCTGGTTGAACTTCCAAAGGGAAAAAGACCACTCAAATGCAAATGAGTCTTTAAACTCAAGAAAGATGGAAATGGCAAGCTGGCCAGATACAAAACTCGATTGGTGGTAAAAGGCTTCGAACAGAAGAAAGGTATTGATTTTGACGAATGTTTTTTACATTTTGTCAAAATGACTTCTATTCGAACAATTTTGAGCTTAGCAGCTAGCCTAGATCTTGAAATGGAGCAGTTGGATGTGAAAACTGCATTTCTTCATGGAGATTTGGAAGAGGAGATTTATATGGAGCAGCCAGAAGGATTTGAAGTAGCTGAAAAGAAACACATGGTGTGCAAATTGAATAAGAGTCTTTATGGATTGAAGCAGGTACCAAAGCAGTGGTATATGAAGTTTGACTCATTCGTGAAAAGTCAAACATACATAAAAACCTATTCTGATCCATGTGTATACTTCAAAAGATTTTCTGAGAATAAATTTATTATATTATTGTTGTATGTGGACGACATGTTAATTGTAGGAAAAGACAAGGGGCTGATCGCAAAGTTGAAGGGAGATTTGTCCAAGTCATTTGATATGAAGGAATTGGGCCCAGTACAATAAATTTTGGGTATGAAGATAGTTCGAGAGCAAACAAGCAGAAAGTTGTGGCTGTCTCAGGAGAAGTACATTGAACGTATACTGGAATGCTTCAACATGAAGAATGCTAAGCCAGTCAGCACATCTTTTGCCGGTCATCTGAAGTTGAGCAAGAAGATGTGTCCTACAACAGTGGATGAGAAAGGGAACATGGCTAGAGTTCCTCATTGTTCAGCAGTCGGAAGCTTGATGTATGCAATGGTATGCACCAGACCTGATATTACTCATGTAGTTGGTGTTGTTAGCAGATTCCTTAAAAATTCTGGAAAGGAACATTGGAAAGCAGTCAAGTGGATACTCAGGTACCTGAGAGGTACCGCGGGAGATTGTTTGTGTTTTGGAGGATCTGATCCAATCTTGAAGGGCTATACAGATGCCGATATGGCAGGTGACATTGATAACAGAAAA